ATCCATTTATATTAATAACAATTATTAATTCGCCATTTCTACCTTTGGCCAAAAATTGGTTGTGTAATGTTTACCATATGCAAGATATTCTTTCCAATACATTTATAATAACCACCGATATAATAGCATATCAAGAATTGAGACAATTTATTAAGAATCTTCACCCAAATTTTTTAAAGCTATTATACTATCCCATTGATATACATGAAGAGCTATCATATGGAAATGTTGATTATTTAAAATTTATGTATTTTAGGACACTGCTTCTGCAAAATATTTTACAATTAAATATTCCATTGTTATTATTTGAAGTTGACTCTTATTGGGCCTCCAATCCATTACCTTTTATTTTGTCAAATTATTTTTATTATAATTCCTCTATTAAAAATTATCAAACTAAATATGACATTATTGGTACCAAAGTTTCACAAATTAATGGAACACTTTTAGCTGGAGGTTTTTTATGCCTAAAGCCATCATCAATTACCATAAAAATTTGGAACAATTTAACAGCAAATTTTATGTCATATATTACCGAGATTTCAAAAAAATATGAGAAAGAAAAGAAAGAAATTATTTATCCAGAGATCAATGACCAAACAATATTAAACAGTATAATAGCCACAAATAAAAATTTGGCTAGCTTCAATTATATAATTTTGAATAATAAATTTTTTGAAAATGGCCTCTGGTATAAGGGGAACAAATCAAAAATGGAAAATATAACACCACTTGTGATCCAAAACAATTTTATAATTGGAAATGATCAAAAAATAAAAAGGGCAAAATATTTTGATCAGTGGTTTTTAGATCACAAGATGCTCTGCAATAATAAGTTTATTTACTAATATTAAAAAAAACGGTTATAACAATTGAATTTTTCAAGTTATTGCTATATGAATATACAAAAAATAAGTGTTATGAAACTAGTGCACTACTAAGCACAGTTGTCATTTGTAGTTTTAATAATAATGTGCTGCTCATTTTTGAAATATAGCTTTACAATAGTACTGGCACACTATTTTTGAAAAGTGGTATTTAATTACACAAATTATTTTTATACAACTTCCTTTTTTTATACAAATTGCTAATCAGATATTGATGTATTTTATACTACTTAAAAAAATATATGTTCACTATTAATTATATATTTATAGCTAGTAAAATTTGACATCCATTTTAAATTTTAAGATACTGGTCAATATAATATATTTTATTTTCTAACACGATTTTTACAATGAAATCTCCATAAGATGATCCCCACTCAAATTAAATTTATCACATTTTTATTTTTTTTTAAAAATATAATATTATAAAGTGCTATCATTTTTTTTGCCTCCTAAGGTTAAAAATTATTCTTACAAAATAAGCACAATGATTATTTATTTTTTTTTCACAAATTACAATTATTTTTATAAAATAAAAATTAAATGGCCATGTCCTAATTCGTCATATTTTTTAAACTTAAATATATTTAGCATATTTTGGTTTGTTTTAAGTAGTGCTGTAAACGTTTTAGTGCCCACAAAATGAACGTTTAAATGCAGCGTTTAAATATGTAAACGCTGCTATGTTTAAATATGTAAACGCTGCTATGTTTAAATTGAAGCGTTAATGCCCTATTATATTTATTTAGGAAATTTTTTTGTAATATCATAATTTCATAAGCTAAAAATAATATTATATCATTTAATATAACCATTTTACTTTTTAGAAATTGTTGTATCCATGCTATTACTTTAAAATTTAAAAACGTTTCAAAAAACGCAGATATAAACTTTTTTTTAGTAAATAATTTAAAATGGATAACGGAAATGTTTCCAATTTGAACGATTGCATTTGAAATGCATTATTTGCGTTTTGAAACATTGCGTTTAATTAAACGCATTACTCGCGTGTTACCTTCCAAAAAAAGTTCACTCGCTATTTTTAAAAAAGTAGACCGTTACTCGTTATTTTTTATTTTTTTCCCCATAGATAATAAAAATGAAATTTTACAAAAATAATATATTATAAGATGAATTTTTTGTAATTTATTTGTAACAACAATTGATTTTCAAAATTTTGATCAGATATATATATATAATAGTTAATGCTCAACATAGCTTTGGCTGTGCTAAAGCTAAATGCATGTTCAACTGGCACAGAGGAATGAGAAGATTGTATTATATTTTAATAAATAAAAAAAGAAAAACTTATTGGATCATCTTTACAAGAATCCTCATCAAATTTTTTTAAGTATCTTTATAAGAATTTAATCTGCATTCATATTTTTGCCACTTTACGCTCCTGGACATCGTGGTTTTAGTATTTAAATTACAGCACAATCTATACTTACAAAGTGTAAGGTTGTAATCGTAATTTTCTATATTTCTGTAAAATCTTTCATAATGGGGTCAGGGTGAAATTTAAATCATTGGGAAATAAATTAACATGTATTGTATTCATTATAAAATAAATGATAATATTAGAGAATATAAATTTGCGTCGATCTAAGAGTGCTCCACTTGCAAAATTGTTAAAACTGGGAAAAACAATTTTAAAGTTTAGATTCAAATATAAGAAATTATAAGTTTAAAAAAAATGGATATTTCCAAATAATAGTCCCCCCAAAAAAATTATACTCAAAAATAAGAATTTTATTCGATAAAATCTAAATTCAGGCACCTTATGAATTTTAAGTTCAAAATTCACCATTTCAACTTTATTTATGAGAAGTGAGAACAGGTAATTCCTAGAAATCATCAAAATTATATTACAATCTTTATTCAATCCTAATTTATTCATAGAAATAAAAATTTATTTGAGTAAAAAAAATATCCCAATATTTAACTGACAATTTTTTCCATACATATTTTATAGTCATTTTTTATAAAATTTTTTAAAAAAGTTCACAACGGGTGATTATAACAATTTGGTCACCTATTTGTGAAATCTCGAGACTCAGGCAATATATTTCTGGCGAATGCTTTGTGTTAACCGTTTTTAAAAATCGACTCATATCGAGCAATTTGACACTTCTTCTTAGGTATGTTTTATTCTTGCTGAAAAAAAAAATGTTCTTTCATTGGTAGAAGCGCCAATGGGTAGAGTTGCCAAAATGTACAATAATTTTAAATATTAGGAAAAAGGTTTAAAATTTGTATGAAATTATGTGAAACATCTATTTATTTGGAACACCATTATCTATAGGTAATAATACCATAGTTAATCAGCTATTACAAGGGATACTTTAAAATCCTCACAATAAAAATCTATTAAAATTTAACTCTTACCCCATTAAGATTTGAAAGAACGATAATAGTTAAGTGTTGCCTGATTAATTAATAAGTTTTCATTCATTTGAGTTATAAAAATATTGTGGTGGATAAAGAATTTTATTTTATAGTATAATTCTTCGACTATTAATATTTGGAATGATGGGCTTGCCTTGCTTCGAGTCGAGGTAAACAAATATTAAATTTACGGAGCTCTGCTTTATAAAATAATCAATAAAACATTAATAATTTTGAAAAATATTTTAGACGACCTCTGATTTTTTTGGCTTTGGATAGGTGGGATTGCCTCTCCTTCCCGCTACCTACGCGCCTTCTTATCTTTGTTTGCTTATTTGGAACAATATGTTTTATTTGAATAGCTTTTGATAATTTCTTCTGTGGATTTATGGACATTGCTAACAGTTCCTTTAGAATTATCTTTGAGTATAATAATATAAAAATTTAATAACCTCAATTTTTTTTCCAATTAACGATAATTCGTTATATTTGTTTTCTTGAAAGGCAGATTTGTATTTAGACGAAATGTCTTTGACATCTGACTGACTTCAATATTATATACATTTTTAATAAATGAATTATCAGTTTTAGGTTAGTTTTAATATTCTTGGATCTGTTATATTTTTATTAATTTAGTTTTTATAGCATATCGTCTATAATTTTTATGAATAAACTAATAAGTAATATTAAAATATTTGATGGCATTGTTATTTTTCGTATTTTATTCTCATTTTTTTATTATATTTTCTATAAAACTGTAAAAAAATAATAATGGAAGATTTCGGACATGATTCATAATTTTATTAATTTGCGAAAATTTATTAATTGAAGATTTTTTCAATATATTTAGGGGACACACACAGTCTTAGGAGAGAATTTTAAAAAAAAATGTTTCTTGTATTTTAAGTAGAAGATTTTACAATTGCTGGCTATTATATTCTAAAGTAGCGTTAGAAACAACTGTTTAAAATGTTGAGTTATTTCAGAATTAGAACTATCGTATAAAAATAACTCGTGTAAGTTTCAATTTTATATTTAAATTATTAATAATGATATCATTTTTTAAAAAATAGCTTATTATATTTGTGAATATTGGGATTAGAGATCTGCAAAGTTATGCACGGTCCGAGTCCGGCCCGAACGCGGATTCTGGTCGAGCCTAATATTTTTACAAAAATTTCGGGCCGAGTCGGGTTGGACCTTGGAAATTTTATTGATATCTAAATTTATCAATTGTATATTGAATTTTTTATGTAAAATAAAAAATTTTGATTTAATTTATTGAAACTAAACGTTATATAATATATGTCTTTTATTTTAAGTAATTATAAAAATTAATTTCTATATTTAAATAAATTCGGGCCGGGCCGGTAAATTTTTGAAAAATAAATTTCGGGCCGGGCCGCAAAACTTTTTAAAAAAAATTTTGGGCCGGTCCGGGTTTGAAAATAGGCCCGATGCAGATCACTAATTGGGATTAAAGCATCTTTATATTATTTTTAGATTAAAATAATGTTAATTTACCTAGTGGCAGAAACACAAATTAGGTTATTTAAAAATACTAAGGATAAAACATAACAGCATTTCGGTAGTTTAAAATGTAGAGTCAAAGTGGACAAAGGAGGCCTCAAGAAGAGAAGTATATTTTTTTCAATCAAACTCAAAACGGTTTATTATAAATAATTTATCTATCGTCGGTCGTATCACGGTGTTATATAAAAATAACATAATCACGAAAAAGAATGAGGAAAATAGACATATTTATATTTTCGAGGAATGTTTTATACAATATATAATATGAATATAATATGAATATTTTTTTTAGGTATATATAATAATACTTCATTTTCAAGTTAAAATGATTGCGGTAAATATATTATAAATATCTTATTTATTTTTTTCAAAAAAGATAAAGACTTGAGATAAGGAATTCCTTTATAAAAAATAAAATAGTCGTATTTCATGAAACGTTTATTTCTTCCCAAAATCACTAAAATCTCCGCCATTTTCAACGGCTCGCCAAATATTGATGCAAGATCGGTGGTAAAATATATCGGTATCGCCAGGATCGCTAACTCCGGCCCAGGCATCGAACACAATAGACGCGACGCTATCGATCTCGCCCTCCCGAAATTGTAAGAAACAGATATGGCAAAATCGGTTTTCGATTGTAGCGAATTTAAGGGAATTCAGAGCGGCGGGACACGAAAATTCGAAGGTCTATGTTTTTTGTTTTGTTTTAAAAAATCATTTACAATTAATTAATTGTCTTTAAAGTCATAATATTTATAACTGCCTTTTCATTGGCCGAAATTTTTAAGAGGATAAAGCCTTATGATAGCTAATGATATAAAAAGAAATTATGACGACAAATAATCTCGCTGTGCGTGAAAGTAATAAAATTTTGACTAAATATCCAAATTTGTGTGTTAATTATCATCTTACCTTCTAATGATAACATGATTAGGGGCTAAGAATTGTCAGATTTCTCAGAAAAAAAGGGTAAGAATTGTAGCTACTACGCCGATCTTATCTCTTGGATTATGAAGTAAAAAAAATTATCGGTGATTCGAGAATAAATGAATCTAGCCACTTGGAGATAACGTGTTTACTATGAGTGCAGCGCATATTTTGTTTCTTTATTCACTAATTATTAAATGTGGAGAATGTTTATGGTTTGATGTAGCGTAGAAACGGCTCCAAGCCTTATAAATTTCGCCAATAAATGCCCAGACCTATCTGCCAACTTTTTTGGGTAAATTAATTCTGACTAAAATCTGGTGCTAGCCTCTTATAAAAATAAGCTAAGTCGTGCCGTCTAACAATATTATCGGAATGTAAACTCATTAGACATGTTAAAAATCCATTTTTTTTGCTGCAGATAATACAATAAAAATATATTATCAAATTCTTTTTAGCTACATCTTTTTTAAAAATAATTTGAATTTTGGTTCCTTTAATTAATTAATTATAATTATGTGTAAAATAAAATAAATCAGATCGGTTTTAAAAAATATCGAATAGGGTTATAAAAAATAGCTGATCGGTTTTTAAAATATCCGTCCCGATCAGATTAATATCCGCACAGCCTTAACAAGATGGAATGGAATTTTTATGTAATGTTTTATAACATGCAAATTTTTATGTTATTTCTTTTATTTGGAGTTATAAATAATATTTTTAAAAAAAATTAAATAAACAAAATTCTTATGTCTCCAAAAAAAGATAATTATATATCTTTTAATATTCCATGTGTCCCAAGTTGAAGACCCGAGGATAATAGCAAGAATTAATCAGGTAAACTATGAGGGTTCCATAAAATAAATAAACATGTTCGTAATTTAAAACCTGAATTCCATTATCTTGGTATAATTTGAGCAAACTCAGAGCCATCTGATCTATATCCGCGTTCAAATCTTGTATACTGGAATATTGAATATCTGATTTGTGCAAATAAATAATATATATATTGCTTATAAAGAGAGATTTTTATAATCAATAAAGATTTAATTTATTCATTCATTTACCTAAATAATCAAATGCTTTCTTGATCCTTTGAGAGATAATATATATTTCGTGTAAATCTTTACAAAACAAAACATAAAAACAATAAGGAAATAAAAATTATTTATATCATAAGAATAAGTAAAAAAAGATTACACCACCTAATTAGTATTTATATTATTTAAAAAATTACATAATATTTTGGCATCCTACATGATAGGTTGTTTTATTATAGGGGTAGGAATAAAAATAAACTAATCCTACCATTTCATAAAAACAAAATATATACAACTAATCATATTATTATTTTGGCAGGTTATTTAATATTAGGTTGCCAATATCTTATTAACTTTAGCATTTCATAAAACAAACAATAATGAATGTATATAAATTTTAGGAAAAAAAAATCAAATAATTAAAACTTGCAGCATATTTATGGATTTGAGGAGAATCGAGAATCATTTTTAAGCAATCTTTTTTGAGCGTTTGTAACTCATGCAAAAACGATCTTAAATAACTCTTGCATCGATCTAATACTATATGCCATTCCGTAAAGGAAGGATATGGCACCTAAAAAATAAATGTAATGAGATAATATATATTACCTTAATTGCCAGGACTAATTTATATTACTTTTTGATAGCTAACTCCCTCAAATTATTTATATTTATTACCCATTAAAAAATATAATAATCAAATGAGATTAAGAAAATCTGATATGTAAACTGTAATAGGGAGAAGAAGAAAAAATCTTGGGGAAAAATATATAATAATATTTGGCTTATTTGCAAGTGGAACATTAAATATTATAATGAATAGTGTTTAAGTGCTAAGGCTGAGTCATATCTCATCTTTATTCCATTTAGAATTCTAAATAGATTGTAATTTTTTGACTAATAAAATAATACATTTTTGGGCACTATTATCACCTTATGTCAACTTAGATAACATTTTTTCTTAAATGGGTTCCTAGCTGCTCTTCAGAATAAAATGCTCAATTCAGTTAGTTAATAAAATCTAGACATGGGCTAATGCTTAAATGTTGATGTGGGTAAAGATAATCTAGGCTAATGTTTAAATATTTTACATTATGCTGAGAATTGGAAATTATTAAGAGAATGGTCATTTCACTAACTTCATTTCTCAGAGCTAAATAGTTTGGTTGAGCTACTTTCTCACAAATATTATCGACACTTTTTAAGGTTTCATTGAGGCATTTGGTTGAAAGTGGAGTTTCATAATTATTAAATTTCAATGAAAAATTATCTGAATTATTGATATAGGCTTTACTATGGCTTTGATAACTATCAAAAGGTAAGAAATCATTCCCATCAATATCAGTATCTATAAAAATATTGATAAATATTATAGAAAGTTATAAATATGTTTAAACAGGTAGTTCAAAATTTTTCTAAAATTTGCTAATATGATTTTACTAGGTGTACAAATAGGTATAGATGGGGAATAGTTTGGTTGAGCTACTTTCTCACAAATATTGTCAACACTTTTTAAGGTTTCATTGAGGCATTTGCTTGGAGGTGGAATATTGTAATTATGAAATTTTGATAAATTATCTAAATTATTGATATAGGCTTTATTATGGCTTTGATAACTATCAAAAGGTAAGAAATCATTCTCATCAATATCATTATCTATAAAAATATTGATAAATATTATAAAAAAGTTATAAGAATATTGTTTAAACAGGTGGTTTAAAATTTATATAAAATTTGATAATATTATTTTACCAGGTGTACAAATAGGCATGGGTGGGGTTAATATACTAGAAGATTTGATATTTTGTGATAAGATTACATTTTGGTTCATTTTACTATTGAATGAATTTGATGTTGGTAATGAATATAAATCCAAGCTAAGAATTGATATAATGTCAGATGTAGAGGAGGAGTGATCTTCATTGGAATAAAAATTTGTTTTATTTTCATTTTCTTCAGATAAGATAGAATTTTGACCCTTCTCATCCTTTTTGTTGGTATGATTAATTTGTTTTAGATTAGGTTCAAATTCGTTATTAAATTTGCAGGTGTTAGGTTGTAAAATATTTATATAAGAATCATTAATTAAAATATCATTTTTGGGTAGTTTAGGCAAAACACGATCAGTCAAAATATCATGTGTTTTATGTATTAAATGAGTATTTGAATTTATATACAAATTTTTCCCTGATAAGGGATAAGATTTAACTTGGGGACTAGTTATGGTGCTCATAATTTTATTATCTATAAGCATAATCTTTTTATCAAGCCCATTAATTTGACTAGCAAAAGGCAAGTAAATTTTATTCAAGGTGTCATTTATTGCATAGGATTCAAATTCACCAAAATCATTATCTAAGGCAATATATAATTTATACATATAAAATGATAATTTACCCTTATTATCTTTAGAGTTATGAACACTTTGAAATTCACCAAATTCATCATCTATATTAATTTATAATTATCAATATATTGTTAAAAAATTTACTTTCAGAAGAAAAAAGTTCATGATAGTTATCAATATTTTTCCAATGTGCAGCTTTTTCACTAGATTTGTGGGATAATTGATTGGGTTTAATTTTTGTGGGATTATCTTTATTAGTTTTATGTATACTTTTGCTAAATTGCGTTGCTTTTGAGGGGCAATTCAAATTTAGAGATTTATTAATAAGGTTCTCAATATCTATTTACAGTATAATAATTATTCATATATCATATCCTTTTATTATAGAATAGTTTTACCTTTGTGCCCCGATTGCATTGATACCTGATTGAAATTGAATGCATGTATTCAAAAAATGGATATGGGCTTGAGTCCTAAATAATAGTTATCATATGTTTTCATAAATTTCTAAATATCTATATAAGATCAAGATTTTGAATAATTTTTATTACTATATCAAAATAAAATATTATTTTATCATAGATAGATAAGTTAAAGTGATTATGCATTTTATTTATAAATTTTCTATTTAAAGAATGAACCTGTTGTAAAAAAATGGTAATTTTGAAAATAATTATAAAATATTCTTTTTGAGACCCTTGAGATTTAGAAAGGACACCCCTGCCTTTACATGGTTAATGTTTAATAGACCATAGGTGTGTTTTATAAGTAGAACCAGTGAAGTTATGAAAAATGCGTTCTGTAAAAATATTGTAAAGGAACAAAAGACAAAGAGGATGGGATGCATTACCCCATGATTAGTCATAGTCTCCTTATAAGAGGACTGGATAAGAGGCATGTGGATAGTATGCTTAATAGAAAATGTTCTAGAGGCTTCGAGATTTTGAAATATTAGAGCATTTCGGAAAACAATAAGGCCTTTACTGCAGGCTTTTTTATAAACTAAAATTTAAGAATATTATAATTGACTGCAAAATATAAATAAAGAATCTTTTGACACAATGACAAACGGAGCATCAGATATGCGAAGTGAATTTTTAGCCTATAAGCTCAAATTGAACAAGTGGCAGCGGTGTTATAGCCAATCAATTTATGCGTTTATGCATAGGTGTTTTAAAAAGCCAGAATTGGATATATTTTAAAAAAAGCCCAATTAAAATTTTATTCAAAATGATATTAATATTATGTAAGTAAGCTAAGATTTTTCTTAGATGGCAGGAAGGTTTGGATTTCTATTTACAAAATCTCGTATTTTGGTTAAAATCTTAATAAGTCATTTTAAAAATCCTCCCAAATCGGGCTTTTCAACATTACTAATAGGCATGGCCAGAAGGGAAAGGTATGCAAGGAAATACTTTGTCAAAAATTTGCTGTTCTCGTGGATATCATTTTAAGCTAATACAAATTCCCCCCTACATATCCCCCATATACTCTCCAAAAATGTATTAAATATTTTATATATGTGTAAACAATAATTTGAATGATAAAAGACATATTTTTAAATGAAAGTGAAAAGCCAAAATTATTCCTTAAAAATATAAAATAGCAGGGACTTGCAATATGTTCACTATCTTCGATAAAATGTATGGTAAAAAATCCAGGCTAATAGCGCTCTCCTCCATATTCATGACTACTCAAAGTCTGTGACACATGTAGGAGATGTCTGCGTGTAACTAAAAATTGCGGGAGTCATCTGCTGAACGGGCGCGAGGGGACCTGACAACCCTGATCATATAACAAAACGAAATTTCTTTAAATTTAATTCCATTCCCTAATATTTAAACATAAATAATCATATGATATGTGTTAAGTATTAGTTAAAAATGTGTTTTATTTTTGTATTTTTTGTAAAATGTTTATTTTTTAATATTTTTATTATATGAATTTGAATAGAAAAAGAAAATGCGATTTCGAACGAATAAAATAAAAATATATTTCAAGAATAACTTCTAATAATACATTACAATATGTTTAATTCAAATTTTTTAATAAAAAAAAGGTAAAATTTAAATTTATTGTTCCAAAATTAAATTATGTCAAAATATGAAAATTGTAGTTTTGGTGCTAAAATTATTTTTCCTGAGCGATTCGTCATATTTATATTAAGAGTTTTACAAATGAAAATATGAATAAAAATTCTTTATAAAATCTTTTGAACTTAACTTTTGAAAATCTTGGAATTCTAAATATTTATATTTTATCAGGTGGTGTTTGTTTATTTTAAAATATTATTTTTTTTTCAATGTCAAAATATAAAATAATTTTTCAGTATTTAATAAAATAAATAAGGGGGAAAAATAATAAAATATTTAAAAAAAGCATTATGTGTGGTTGAACTAAGAAGAAAAAGGGAGTGATGTGTTATGACCTAAGAGGAAAAAGAGAGTTTTTCTAAGAAAAACTTGTAATACCTTTTTAGGAATTCAAATTAAATTTTTTGTTCTAGGGAGAGAAACTTTTTTTAACCCACGTCCTTATCAAATTTTTTTTTGCCCAATTGATTTGAAAATTTTAGGGATTGGGGATGGGGGTTTCCTAAAACACTAAAAATTAATGGAATAAAAAATAAAAGAATTTAAAAGGACCTATATTCATTATTTTTGGGAGTTCCAAGAGGTCAGAGTTTCTATTAGCGAGAAATGAGGTAACAAATGGTACATCTAAGACAGGTCTTTTACTACCGAGCCTAGATTTTAACAAGCCATCGGGTCGTTTACCATCCTCATTAAAGAGACCTGACGTCTCCAAAAAGAAAAAACAATGTCTAGAAAATGGATCAACTTGCTTAGCAGCACAGATATCAACAGACCGTAAAATAACCTAGCCTATGGCCAATGACAATTTGAAACTAATCGTTTGTGAGTAGCATTTCCCTTTTTCCACTCTGAATCGCGTCAAGCCATTCATTGCCATTAGGATTTTTTTTGCGTTTCTGAGTAATTGAAGGTTAGTCAGATCGAGACATAAACAACGTTTTTCAAATGCACATTGAAGCATGGGAACTGGAAAGCTCTTTAAATAGAAACGGGTGTTCTATAGGAGAATTAGGGTAGGCCAAGGTTGTTTGGCCGAAGTTAAAAATGGATCGTTCAACTAGATAAGCCAGGATTTAGAGTCGTCAAAAAATATTCCTGAAGAAAGAAAACAAGCAATTGCCATTAAATTGGGGAGGAGGGGGACAAAAATCCAAGTCCACCCTAAGATAAGCCGGCAAAGAGGCAAATGATCAATTACAATCAGAAAACTTTAGAACTAAAAGGGATTCAATAAAATGTTTAAATTGCATTCGAAGGACTTAAGGAGGGAATTATATTTGAAAGCCGGGAAAGATTTAAAGATGTGCAAGAATTTAGGTAAGAAAAACTTTTTTGGAGAGGTAAAAAACTGATTCTTGGGAAGATGAGGATAATTTTTTTAGAGAATTAAAAAAAGATTGAATCAAATTTTCAAAGAAATTTTGATAAAAGGAAGCTTAGAAGCCGATAGGAGAAACATAGTTCTTCCTGCGGAATGATTTTAAAATTTGGAGGAGGGATAAATCCTTATTTTTGAGGCAAGATTGTTCACATTTTTTTTTATTTAAGAGAAGACCAGTTTTCGAAGCTCCAATTAACGTACTCAAGACATAACTTGAGTAATCCGCCAAAAGAGCCATCGTCAAAATACCATAAATTAAGGTTTTATTTGAAAGAAGGCTTTAAATTTATGATCAAATTCTGAATACCTATAATAAAAAGCAAGGGATCTAATGGATCACCTTGCTGAATCCCCTCTTCAGAGGATATTGAAAATTCCACGAATGTGAGTAACAAAATCCATAGCTAAGGAAATTCTAATATTTGGGGAAATGTTGTAAGAAAGAAAGTAAAAATGAACCCCTATGAATGCTGTTGAGCATTTCTGACTTGCAGAAAACCTTATCCACTAATACTCATAAAAATACGCGCTACATTTGAGGCCACTTCGCACCCACCTCTAACTCCAGAACCTAACTGGAGGGAAATAAGAAGAAACTGGTCTTAGACTGGATCCTATTTACTATAACCCTGGCGATTAATAGACAGAAAAATGACCTTATGGTTATGGGTCTAATACCAGCATGAAGTTTGGTTAAAGAAAAAAACGCGTACCAAAAAGAATAGGGTTATACAAAGAAGAATTAAGCGTATGAAGATATTATTACAAAGTTGTTAATGATTTTAGTAAAAGGTTAATAAAACCATTATAAGAGCATTGGATTAAATAAGCTAAAAATAACATGGTATGAACCCGTATAAACCACATGTCGTCTATTTTTTAAAGGACTCATGCGCTTAAGAACCTTTCATTACAGTTAAAGGAAATAGAAGAGCCGTGGGAGAATGTTAGAAAGGGACGCCAATAAGTCAAAATTCGGGCAGCACCGTTAATATCTCCAGGGTCTAATTTTTTCGGAAATCCCTTTTAATAAAGTCGTAAGAATTGTTGAATTAATTAATTGTAATAGTTTTTTTTATAATTTATGCAAATTATTTAAAGGTACATTTTTATTTTTACATTTAACAATCTCTGTTGCCTTGGAACTTTTATCTAGTTTCCTTTTGAAGAAAAGTAAAAATATTATTTTTTTATCTATTTTATTTCTCTTTTTCATATCATATATATAACATTTTTACAAAAAGAAATTAGAATATATATAAAAAGGTTAACTTAAAGTAAAACTAAAATGAAAATATAATTTGAAAGTAAAACTAAAATAAAGATATAATATGAATAATACATCATGTTACAATTTATAAAACTAAAATAAAAATATAATATGAATAATACACGTTATAATTTATATTATTCAACATTCTCCTTCTTCTAAAAGAAGCCTTCTCATAATTTCAATTAAGCTGTCATAATTAGTTTGTTGTTCAAATGGTTTTTCTTTTTGACCATCAAGTTGTTTCACAAGTCATAGTAATCGTTGGCTTGTCCCAATCGTTGGTTTGTTTAAATAGATTTAGCACGTTGGTTTGTTCAAATCGTAAGCTTGATATCCTTATCATAAGTTATCCTTATAAATCGTAAATTTGTCATGTAGCTTGCTTGAATTGTTATTATCATCAGTAAGTTACGAATAATGAGAAATAGTTCATCAAGTTAGATATAAGAAAAAATGAAGAATGATAAAGATTGTTATATAATATTTTTAGCGTTTTTATTTTTTGCGTTTTAGTGTAAGCATTTAATAATTAATTTACTTTATGCGTTTTAATATTTAATATACTTTTTGCGTTTTAATATTTACTTTATTTTTTTATTTTAAGTTATGTCTTTTAAATAAGCAGGTTTTTGTTTAATTCGCTCTGGTCTAGAAATCGGTGTTATATCATTTTTATCAATAATTTTTA